GGCTCGTGTTCTTATAAAAAAAGGGTGTACACTAAATTCATTTATGGGGTTTTGAATATAAGTAAGGAAGACATAATACCATGCATAAATGGCCCCAAGATCCGATATCATCCATTCTGGTGAGTTAAAACCAATAATCCCAACAGCATTGTACGGCTCCAAACCAAGCTGCAAAGATGGATGACAAAATAAATGACAAAGGACTTAGAAACCAAAGTGTGAAATTTAAATAAAATTTCTTTTATGCAAAAAAAAAGTAAACATGAGCAGTTGGTATGACTGGTTTATTAATTATCTTCCAGCTTTAATCGATCTTAACATGTACAGATGATGTTTTATTGTCTAGAAATAACGTTGACAATTGAAAAATTTCAAACTGGCGAAACCACAAGACCAAAGGCAACCAAGAGTCAAGAATTCTATCCATTATTAACCGGATAACATCCAATTCTTATAAACTGGAGATTAAAGGAATGCATGAGCCATAGCAATGTTTAAATCATCTGCTGCAACTAGGCCTGAAATAATTTTGTGCGCCAACGAGTCCCGACGATATTACAAATATAAAGTCAAGTCTCTACGACCCCGCCCCCAAACTTCGAGTAGGCCTAACTACGCCTTGTTGAAATTTCAAGAATGCGTGAACGCCTGGCCAGGAAAAGCCTTAAACCATGTTCAACCGAAGAGAAGGAAGTTTATCTCTGCTGAAAAATAACAATAACTGTGATTCAACTTCTATATATATATATTCTTGGATAGACTCCAAAATGACTGAGCAGCGTGGAAGACGCTTCGAAGCTAAGCCTTCTGACATCAGGCCCGAAGGAAGTAAAGTCAAATTCAACCAATCTTTATTAAAACATCTTAATGAAATTTTTGGCTTTGGGATGTCCAGAAACAATTTTATTACGAAATAGGACCTTAATAGGATCTTCCCTTGGGTCAACAAAAAACTACCCACGTAATTTTGGCCACAAACTGGCTCAAGAGGTGAAGGACAGTCACATGTTCCAAGTATAGCTCTTGAGGAAGGTCAAAGTGCAACAAAACTGTTGAATACGGTTACCTTGATAAAGGCCTTTGCAGCGATTTGAACGTCTTGGTGATATTCTTTGTACGTCCAAGTAACCCATTTGCCATCTTTCTCCTCTTTCAAACCTGGCTGGTTCGGAATGGCTTGGCAAGTTGCATCGAAAACTTCGATCACCGTTTGGGGCTTTCGCTCCCCTTCCGCGACCCTGCAAACATTAATAGCATTTAAACCAAAATAAAGAAAGTTCAAATATCATCTTAACTTTTTGCAAGACTACTTTTTCTGAAACAGTATGGGAAGGAGAACGGGAAAGAAATAAATAACATCGTCACAAGCAACAGTAAAAATTGCCACCTTCACAAATCACAACGACACCTGAACACGTCTGGTTGTAAACGGAGCTTGAATAAATGTTTGCATAGCATTTGAAAATCCATTTTAGCTCGCATATTTAAGCAGCAATGAATGAATTTTTAATCATTTGAAATAAAATAAGTATCATACTTGATCTTCACTCCGCCATCTCTCCTAGTTTCAAAGATTCCAGCTTCAACTTCTTTCTTAGCGTCTTGACTTGCAGAAGACTCAACACCCTTATCTTCTGCAGATGAAGGTGTCACATCCACAACAAATTTTTGGGCATTTGCCTCCCCTGAATCTTCACCTATATCACCATTCGTTAAAGTCTTGGTTGTTTCTTCTGTATTTTGTTCATTTTCTCCAGCATTTACCTGCTTGTTTTCAACAAGCTCAACATGGCCTAAATCGGGGATATTATCCATGTCCTTTTCTTCCACGCCTTTAATCGTATCAACAGCACTGTGAACGTGGATGTCCTGGACATCAACAGGTTCTGATTCTGAGGCCATTTCAATGAGAATAATGAGCGGTTGAAGATAAAATGATTTAATTTCCAACACCAATACAGATGTACACTAAGACAGCATTAGCATTCAGAGGATTGACAAGACAAAGTCACAGCGCGTACACCTTTGTCAATGGAACACAGGGCTACTAAGGGTCCAATTGAACATGTCATGGCCCATTGACGGCCGCAAAGATCATGTTCACCCGTCAGTTTGTTTGTTAGTATTTTCGATTATATTGGTTAGTTGTTTTTATCGACCACATGGGCGTGGAGAGCATTCATGCATTCCAAGAAGAGTGTTTCGCTATGAAAAGAGCATACGGGGCTTTCACTGAATGACACCAGAACACGGGGGCCCGCGGGGGAGGTTGTCCTCCCCAATTTATGTGAGGAAAAAGCATTCAAATTTCATACAAATTGATAAACAATGGAAATCTTTATTCTTTTGAAATAAATCTGACAAATGAATAATAAATGAACCAAATCAATTTACGGCCTCATACTGAAAAATTCGTCAAACTTACCTTTACTAAATTTTTGACTTCAGATCGGATAAGTTTTCTTGATGCTACTGTTCATCATATAATGTGACCGTGATATAATGTGACGGTGATTTATGACTGAAGGTTTAAAGTTTCACCTAGAACCATTTTTGCTGTCAAAGCCCTTATAATTTTTTAAACATTGCATCGTCATTGATTCTACTATAAAAGCAAAACATGTGAAAAATTGCATCCCAACTAAAAAGGTGGTGGTAAATTCTATATGTATTTCAAAACAGTCTTACAATTAAAATTTTAATTGGTGGATGCGGCTAACTGTGCAGCAGAAAGAACTTATTTCTAAAGAACAGCTAAAGTTTGAAAAAAATAATAGAAGCGTCAGTTTTTCAATGAGCCTGGTTGTGATTAATAAAAATGTTTCGTAAAATGTTTACACTCTTTTTTATATAAGAACAAGTAAATTTAAGTTAAGGCTGGCTGTTCTTAATTTTTTCGAAAATCTGAGGCTAGATTGTTCTTAATTTGTTCTTGAATTAAGAGGGTGTAAGCAGTGCTATTGCTAGCTTTTTCGCTCTAAGGAGGTGTTCAGGCCTGATTTGCCAACAAAGTGAGTGAGGCAGCCTTAATTTTCTGACAAATTTGAATATTCACCGGAAAAGCACCCACACATTGCTAATAATCCTCGATTTTGAGAAAAAACGTTGTTCAAAATTGCATTTTCCAGAAGCTCAGCCTCAGCTTGTTCTTAATTTGTTCTTAACTTTTGATCATTTTTAAGGCTCGTGTTCTTATAAAATTGTTCTTAGAAAAAAAAGAGTGTATTATGTAATTTGATTTGCAGTGCGTCTACCGGGATGGCCGCAGCCAGAGGGGGTTAGGTGTAGATAGCCTGTGTCCCAGACTCCTAACTTAAGGGTCTGGGACACAGGCTAAGGTGTAGTGTAGACAGCTCCTATAAAACCAAATTGGTTGGGGGAACGAACGCGAGTATCTGCTCCACTCTCTAGAAATTCCTAAAATCTTTTCTTTACATCCCCTCCACGAAACATTGTCCATAACAGCCCTCCAAAGTTTAATGCAAAGATGAGAAAAGTGCTTCCAGATAAATTTGGAGAAAGTTAATCTTCATCCCAACTCTCAGCCAAAGTTTGGGTGGATTTTTTGGAAAGTGTCCGGTACTCAGAGAACTTTTACTATACACTCATTTTTTCTATTAGAAACTGGCTACAAGAAACGAATACTGGACAGTCTGAAAAAATTGAGAAACTCCAGTACTCGAAGCAAAAAATTAAGAAACTATTAAATCGTGATAAAACTGAGAAAAACGAATTTTGTCAAATCCAAGAACATGATTGCCCTGTTGGCCTAGAACTTAAGACACAAGGGATAAAAATATACTTCCCACATCTAAATACAGCATCAGAACGGACGCGAATCTCTTGACGTGTAAAAAAGGTCACGAACATTTCATAACATCATTCATGACATCATAATTAAGAAACCCGTCAGAAACAATGAGTATTGAAATTTCCAGAACATTAAGAAACTGGAATACTCAACATCGACCTTTGTTTCTTTTAAAAAATGAATGTATATGTAATTTTGCACTTTCACACCTTGTTACACTCCATTATACTCAATTTCTGAACACCTACTTGACACCATACCAAATGCAATTTCAACGGTTATATCTAAAGAAATCATCTAAGAACAGAGTGGGGAAAATTAAAGAACAGTAACGTGAGGATCTCGAAAAATTGTGAAATTTCATTATTATAGAAATAATTGGTTCGAATAATTTTATTACTATAAATTGTATAAACTAACTTGAAGTTGTGATAATTGAAATAACAATTCTGAGCTCTGTCTGTTTGCTCCTGAGTGCATTTTCTCGCTCTATGTGAGCTATGTAACAAACCCCCATTTTGCCAAGTGATAGGGTCACCTATGCCGGGCCATATGGAACAAAAGTCTATTATACAAAATATACGATGTGATCATTACTCTTGCTCTGTTTTGCAGGATTTGTAGCTGATTTCAATTCATCATTGCCAAATGTTCAAACCAGGGGTGTAGGGGATGTGACACCCCCCCCCCAATTTTTTATAGTTTGTACGGTAAATCCGCCCCCCCCCCACAATTTTTTTCATCTAAGTCCTGCTGGTAAATTCTCACTATTCCCCCTCACCCCCCAATTATCTGGAAGGTCAAGCTACGCCACTGATTCAAACGGACAGTTTTCGATACTGTTTGCTTTGATACTTTTTTTGATACTTTTAAAATGCTTTGTTTCGATTCTGTGGTATTGGTAGATTGCCAATCCAGCAGAGAGGTCAATCCACGCTTTATTCAACTAATGTCAAATACAAGAAAAAGCAATTCAGGTTATCCTATTTTTAAAATTAAACAACCAAAGCCAAAAAAGGTTTCTAAAACAAGAATATTATTTACACCTGCAGCTAGAAATCGTTGGAAATTGTATCAAAGTCACCCCCACAATGTAATCCCTGTTAATACCTGCTCCACGCGCAAAAATCAATAACAGTTCATTTTTCCAGGTGGATCATTCAATATTTAATAGGGATTCACCTCTCAGAGCATTAGACAATTGAACCGGGGGCACATGTCTCCCTCATTTCAGAAAAACCTATTTGCAAGTCGTGAATGTAACCCTCTTTGCCCTACAAGTGCCCAGTTTTTGTGATGCTTCCGATGTCTTTAAACAAAGGTGCTAGAAACTTAGGAAATGGATAAGTAGAATCGATTTATCAGGAGCACAGTGCCCAAAAATGAAGCTTGAGGCTACCCTCTTTCTTGTTATCTGTTTGCTCTTTGCCATGCATTGAAAATGTTCTGATGTGACATTGTTGCTCTGGCCGCACCCCTTGACCTTGACCGAGCGAAAAAGGAAGAGAGAAAGGAAACAATGAAAACATGAGGAAGAAATCTGGAAAGAGGGGAATATTGTCAGCTGTGTCTGGCCGACGTTCCATCACTACTGACGTCATGTTCTTGTAGGAACTAAGGCAATGATATATTATTGAACTAAAGCTTCTCACGTTAAATCAAGGCTAGTCTACAGCTAGACTTGCTCCAAGTCTATTTCATGCTTGAGGGAGGAGTATTTATTTCCCTTCTGTGGACTTCTGCGAAGGAGACGGACGGCCCCTTCGTCCGCCCGTCCCTCTCCTTCGCAGAAGTCTACTAGTCTACAGCAGAATTAAATCATAAAATTTCAACAATAGAGTTCTAAAGTGTGACGTCACCAAAACCTTATTTTTAGAATTTTCGAATTTTAACCGCATAACGTGAAAGATCACCATGAAATACTACCAAATATGCAAAATTACTCAAATACGTCTCAAATCAGTTGAGATATTGCCAATGGAAAATTTAAAGTTTACTAACGAATCACTGTTATTTTTGCTCTGTTCATAAAGTTATGTTTGTAAAGTAATGAACAGAGACCAAAATACAGAGGTTTTAAAGGGGAAAGAGCGAGTGGCCATATCTCAGCCAATTCGTAACACATTCGACTGATTTTGCAAATTTAGAGGTATTTCATGACGATCTTTCAGGCTATGGGATCCAAATTCAAAAGTTCTAAAAATACACTTTTTTGATGTCATCACTTTAGAACTCTATTAGGAAAATAAAATGTTAAACAGCAACGAGAAGTCGTCACTCGTTCGTTTCATTTACTATGATGAAGCTCTGTATGCCGGGGCGAAATTTTCGTATACGTTTTATTTAATCTATTTTGAATTACATTGGATTCTCATCACCGTTTCGCTTTGTTCCAGAATTTCATCTTCGTATTTATACTCATTGCAAGATATCCGGCGCACAGCCTACCCTGCGGCTCATACTTCTTACACACAACGAGAATTTTGACGTCACAAATACAAAACAAGATTTAGCGACCACTTTGGGTTTAATTGACTGATCTGCTGCCTGAAGTAGTAGGAGGAAATAGCAGACGATGACCTTTCTAACCGATACGACATTTCTTGCTGATAAAAAGGCATGACAAACGTGACAACCATTTTCTTCCTTAAGGATCTTTTAGAAAGCTTCCGAACATCAACTTTGCCCATTCATTGCAAGCTATTCATAAAAATTGGTAGCTTAGCTTAATGATGATTTTCAAGAGGACTTGATACCAAAAAATCTAAAACTGTAATTTGTATAGCAATCATGACAACGAATAAGCCAATAGAAATTGCAACTATAAATGAATAGAAACAGCGATAGAACTTTGCTGTATAGTGAAAAGACATGGGGATGTGGATAATCTCAATAAAATTTGGCGAGTACCCCCCGTTACTTAAGTCCAGGTATATTCTCTGTTACGGAACTTCTTCTTTGTAACTTCTCCTTTATTAGAACTAAATCTGTGATATAACGTTGAAAAAAGTCAACATTTTACAACATACTGTAAGTCTTTTCGTCCTTAGGTATAAAACGTTAGAGTAAGCTCCGAAAGAACAAAATTGAAAATATATAGCCTGGCCGTCCTCATCTTACCTCTCAACTTGACTCCTCGTTGAGATCCTCGATCTCCTAGCTAGTGTACCTCTGCTTGAAAAATGTGAACAGTTTTTTGGCGGTACAATTTCATTTTGGCTGACACTTTTTCGTCTCAACTGGTCAGGTAAAAGTTTTTTCAAAGCCATTTTCAAATTGTGTACCGCCAAAAAATTGTTCACATTAATCTGTAATTCGCTGTCATTCGAGGAAGCAAATGATGTATTTTCCACGAGCTTTGACTACGGTGAAATAAAACTAAATGACTTTTGAAGCTAGGAAAGATAATGACGACAGAATAAACCAAATGATGATTAGGCCCAGCTACGAGTCTTGTGGTACGCCTATTTTGTTGTCCTCTTGTTTTAGACTCTTATTCAAAAAGCACTGTAGTATCGTTTACGATACCATAGATAAGAAGGAATGTACCCAAAGATTCGCAATATACAGGGACGTATCTCAAGGATGTGGGTTATAAAATAAAATGATAGTAAGGAGAATCTATAAGTGATAGAACATAAAGTCTGTACATAAATTTGTATAATCTACAGTTGAAATTTGTAAACTTTCGACTCTTTATTTTCCTTTTAAATCTAATCAACGTTGAGGGCATTTTATTTTCAGTGGTAGTATCTGTAGGAAAAAGTAGGTAGTGACATTTTTGGTTGACTGTTTTTCTATATGCAGTCGAAGGTGGAAATGTCACAACAGGAATTATGCAGCAGAGAAAGAACGAAGCGCAAGTGTAAAAAGTTGAGCTAAAGCTACATTAAAATTCCAGGGACAGTGTTAGGACGTATGCCAGGCCGGGTAAGCAATCGACTGGAAGAAGGGTGGTGGTAAGCAGAGACACTGTACTAAAAAACATGTTACACACTTGCTGAGGTGTACCAAGGCGTTATAAGTTTGAAGCGATCCTAAAACTTTATTCATGAATTTAAAGGCATAAAGCAAATTAAAGTTGATTACAGTAGGCCTAACTGGATAGATAGTTGATAGCTGATCATAGGCCTTGCTGAAATAAGTAGACAAAAACAGAGATTTTCATTTCATTCATTGGTCCATCATAGGATAGTAGGCCAATGATCAACTAGGAAACTCTCAGCCACTTTTTGAACGATTCAAATTTTTCTTACATGAAGAGTAACCTTATAAGTTTCTTCGAGATTTTATGATCAAAATTCAAAAATTTGAAAAATCAAAATTCAAAGATTTTCTTCTGTTGCTGCGATTTTAGCACTCTGTTCTAACGATGTCTAAACATCCTCGACAAGATTGATGAAAACGGGGTATTGTTCAATTGTAGCCAAAGAATTTGGAGGACATCATCAGCAAGGTTGTTTAAATAGAAAAGCAACGATTTGTACAGTTGTATTAGTACAGCTTAACAAAGAAAAAGCTCAGTTTACTGATGCTTTTGACAGCAGTAGCAATATAGAGGGGGGGGGGGGGCAATCTTCATTAGCTTAGCAACATCACTTGCAAAAATTTTGCTTTCAAAACATACTCTAAACCAACTATAGAGGATTACACCTAGCGTGAACAATGTCTGATGATTATGCAGACTTCTCCAATCTTTCAGCTCGCCTATCGAAGGCAAAAAGAACAACAGACCAGGGTTAATGGTTCTAAGGGGTTGAGGAATCGGGAAATCAGGCTCGGCCCCCCTTCTTTATGCCAGAAACTTGCCATTTTCCTTTTTTCCATGATCCTCCATTTTCTTTCATACTAGCTCTTATTCCAAGTTTACGTTGGTGCTCGACGGCAAGTCAAAATGGAAGTCCCGAAAAAGCACAAGAAATGCACGAGAAACAAATCTAACAGATAATAAACCTTTCAAAAATTGCAAATTTAACATATTTTATATGATTTTGTTATTTTTTCTTACACAGCAAAATTGCAGTATGCTCTTGATTTTAAAAGATTCATTGGTAGCTAGTTTTTGAATATAGAACTGCATAAAAAGCGGAACCACATAATAGTGCGCAGCAACATACTCAAGGTGCATTGTGGCACCATTCCGCTTTTTCGCTAGCATCAATATAATTCAACATTTCAACCATCTGTTTCTTGAAAATCAAAATTGCCACAATATTCAGTTTATTTTAAGAAATAAAAAATCTCAGTCAGCACACTTAACTTGTAATTGCAATTTGATTGAATTGGTGATAAAAATGAGCAGAGAGCGTGAGTGGTACAACGCTTGGCTCACTGGCGTGGCGTATAGTATTGATTGGTTCACCATTAAATCTCACGTCAACAGCAACTGTTCGTAGACTCAATTTCTCGCTCAAACATGAATAAACTTTCCTCTAGCCGGACTCAGCTTAACCATAACGACACCTGTAGGATTGACCTCGGCTTCGTAGCCACTACTTAAAATTCCAAGGTCTTTATGCAGGTACAGATCTCTGATCGACGCCTTCTCGTATTCAAATCCAACCTACAAATTTAGAAAATGCGAGGGTTTATTTTAAGTTGCAGCACTTGCCATTTATGTTAAGAAGCTACCGACAAATGAGATTTGTTTTCAAAAGTATTAAGCAACAGGGAGTTGAGCAATTAGTTGGGCAAAAAGTTAAATTCGCATGAAGTGTTTTAAATAAAATAAGACTTTCCTTCGTTAGGCCAATGCTATTAAGTAAATTTAAGTCATTTCAAAACCTGGCATCAGACATGCACTGGATACTGGAGGCAAACCATTCTTTCACCGAGTAGCATTTTTATCTCCTAAAGGAGCAACCATATGCTGCCTATTTGTGCAAAAAACGATTCAAAATATACACGCTGTTTATTTAAATGCTAAAATTTGCTATATACTTAGTTTATATACTTGTCACGATAGTAGATTGACCTGTGAAGCCCACAACCACTGATCTGAAAAAAGACTGGATCGAACAACCTATTGTTCCCCTACATCAGCACGATGAAGCTGATCGAGCCTCTCCATCTTGAGACCTCTCGCGCCTAAAGCTTTGGGCTGCCATTTGTTAAAACGGTGCACACACAGTGCTGCGCCTTAAATTGTGCATTAGCTATTAAATTCTAAAATATTCTAAGATCGAAAAGGCCTAGGAAAATAAGTGAACAGTGAATTCTTCGTTACATAAGCTTAGTACTATGGCAAAAATGTTTAACGTCACTTGCGAATGATGCAAGTTTCTGCTTCAACGATTACTTTGAATTTTGCTATGATAAAGCAAGTTGAGCTGATACCAACATGATTGCTCTCTAGTCTCACGGCGAGGTCTCAAGATGGACGCTGCAATGTGGAATCAACGCTGGGCTGGAGAAGCTCGATCCAGTCTTTTTTTGAGATCAGTGCCCACAACAGCAACTCCAAAATATCAAGCCCACAACAACATACGAAAACTCATGAAAACTGCATTCAAAACATCGATGGAAACATAAAGTTTGTCAGCTTAAAAGCATTTAACGTGTTTTCTTACGAAAGCCTATCGACTCACCGTTTTAAAGGAGAATGACATTGACAGGGGCTCAGCTCCAGTGTTAAACAAAACAACTGCCACGGCTCCCCCTGACAGAGGGCGCGCCCAGATCTGGGTAGCATTGGTCTGGGAGAAAAGAGAGTTGAGAAATCGTTAATTTTTCATGTAATTTATGCTTGGGAAATACCTATTGGGTCTAATGTGTTTGAACAAACACAACGAAATAAATAGGGATATTTTGCATAAAGGAAGTGGAATTAAATTAATGAAAATAATTGACGATAAAAGAGATGTCACCAAAAGCCCAGATGAATGTGGACTTAGCCCGAACACCGGGGAGAAGTGTTGACTGAACAGAAGCTTCATCTAGAAAATCTGCTTAAAACTTTGGAAACATTATTCGCTGAATTCCCCTCACCCGAAATTACTCATTTCACCGAGGGAGTAAATTCAATTAAGAAACGAAATATATTAGTTCAAATACATTAAGTTCAATTACAAACACCTCCAAAGCCTCGTTGAAAATAATATTGACACAAATCTCCGAACTGTTCTGGATGCCAGAAAATTGATCTATAAATAGGTTTTTATCTTCAGGGTCAAACTAATCTTTTAAAAGATTTGACCTTGAATTTCATTTCCACTGGAAAACTACACCATATCTTGGAATATACTATAATCAATTCTCAAACATCTTGTCACAAGAATAGAACGTGAAGTAAACATGATTCAAACACGACTGGAACATGAATCAAACATGATTCAAACATGTATCGAGCACGAATCAAACATATTGTAGCGGGCAATCTGCCTAAACAATTTCATAAAATGGCGTTTAAAGATCAAATCTAAACGTGCATTTTGCAAAGCGAGACAAATCAGACATTTTGAAAACAAACAAAACATATATGCAGTAATTCTCAACTTTCAATAGCCAAGCAAGATTCTGATAGCAAAAGGAAATATAGGGTAAACAACTAAAGCTAGATAGAAGTATCCTTTTCTAGGGCAATGAAACAACAGGACTGGGGTAGTATGCATAAACAGGGCGCTGAAACACTTGCATTTTAACCTTGTCCCCAACTACCGTAAATTCTCTTTTTAGCCCCCTCTCAATTAACCCCACTCTCTCTTATTAGCCCTCCTTTTTAGAAAAAAAATTAAATTAGCCCCCCTCTCAATTTAGCCCCCCCCAAATTTTCACTGATGCTGAAATAAGTAGACAAAAACAGAGATTTTCATTTCATTCATTGGTCGTTGAATTCTTCGCATCAAATCAAAATTTACACCATGTCTCTAGAATTAATAATTGTTGACAATGATGATGACAATATTATTGATATACAGTAGAAGGCTGATTTGATGTTTTTTATTTCGCAAATAACAAAAAATTTTACCACTATAAATGATTTTTTATTACAAAGTATTTATCAGGCCTCCCCTCTCAACTTAGCCGCCAACTCTTTAAGCCCCCTTTAAAGTGCTGAAAAACAATAAGCCCCAAGGGGGGCTAAAAAGAGAATTTACGGTAATCTTATATCAAGCCATTGGGATTGTTAGAGACCAACAATTTAAAGTAGCTATGGAACCACTAAGAAGTATTTATGACGTAAAAAAATTCCAATGTCAGCGGAGATGATTGTATTGGGAAGAAAATGATGTCACATATTGTAAACAATTGTAAATAGAAAGGAAAACGTAAGAATTTTTAAGAAATTACAGTATGTCTTTGTAGTATCCTGTATTATTCATTGCAGGGTCCGTTGGAAAGATGTCAAATCTTTTGGCGACGCAAAGAAGATGTAATTAAACTAACCTGCCTAATATTGAAGAAAATTTACTGAAATATCAACAGATTTTAAATGCCACTTTAAGCTTACGATGTTGTAAAAAATCTCTATTTTGTAACAATCAGTTCACATTTCATATTCATATTACGCTTGTTGATGTATAGAACAGGATGGTTCTAAATTGCTATTCCAAGTTTCGTGCTTTATTCGATCGCCAGGCAACGCATATTCATATCAAATTATTTAATACACAAATCCCTTAAGCATCGGTTCCTCATAATTGATTTCTTCTGTTGAAGAAGACTGAAGCTCTGTTCGTACAAACAAGAATAAAAAGACAAATACCAAGAGGAAAATATTAAGATAAATTTGAAGATAATAATTCTCACGTACCATAGCCACCCTTCTCCCCATTTTCCCAAGTTTGTCCTGATTCACTGCAATTATTTCTCTAGGAAAAAGAATAAACATCATCTGTTTAGAAAAATCTCTGAATTACCGATATTTACATCATTAAAATAGTTACAGAACTATTCCCTTTAAATAACTCTACAATATTCGCTCTCCCAAAACGTGATGTGCATTTTGACTTACTTTTCATTTTCCAGTACTTTACCACGTTTCATGTTTAAGCGAAAGACCATGGAGAAAAGCAAAATGTTTGTATAACGAAAGACATGTATCTAACGGGAGTCTAAGGGTGTGGGGGGCTGTTGCTGTTTTTCAGGAGTTGGTTGGCAAAATCATTAGCTGGTCATAAAGTCCTCTCGCAGTAGGCAGATAACACACGAAATTGTCTTCACTTATTTTTCGTAGCCTGCATACAGACTCTGCTGACAAATTTAGAGTCTTCATGAATGCTACTTCTTCGGCGATAGAATTCACTTTTCATGACCCGTCACAAAACGCTCTCCACCCCCTAGAAGGTCGATTAACCCTAAGAGGGCCATTTATACCGAGGGCCTAAACAAGGAGGTATTACATGTCGATGTGATCGTAAACATGTCGTACTTTCCAAAGCTGTTATTTTGTTTTGCTTAAAAGAGTTCTCAAGTGTGACGTCACACAAACTGTTTTTAGAATTTTCTAATTTTGACCACATAACATGAAAGAGCACCATAAAATACTTAAATATATGCAAAATCAGTTAAACTTGTCAAAAAATGGGTGAGCTATGGCCAATAGAAGATTTGAAGTTTGCTAACGGATTACTGTTATTTTGGCTCAGTTCATAAAGTTATGAACTGAGACCAAATTTCAAAGGTTTGATGGGGCAAGAGCTTGTGCTAATCTGGTCATTTGGTCATATCTCGGCCAATTCGTGATAACTTTAACTGATTTTGCAGATTTAGAGGTATTTCATGATGCTCTTTCAGGTTATGGGAAAAATTTCAAAAATTCTAAAAAATAGATTTTTGTGACGTCATTATTTGACAACTCTAAAGCGCAGAAAGTTCATTTGAAACCTCGCATAAAGAGGAGCCTTGAATAATTGAGTTCATAGGTTGGTTGCCATCGATTCGTGGAAATGTCATCATTTATTCACTACAAATATAAACTCTATCAGGTTCTGTGACCAAATTGTTTCAACGCTAAAAATCATATTAAGCTGGTCTAACAAAATTCTGCTGTTTTGCAACTTCCATTATCATCAAAGTCGTGTGGTCATAAGTTGTCAATGAATATGAAAAGAGTGTCGCATTTTTCAAAGCTTAGGCCTGCACGGTAAGTCCTACCAAGGGATTATGCCAACGTGCTACCACGGTCAAAGAGAAGATTTGACAATAATCAATACGATTAAGAAAAAACCATCTTGAGAAATTTCACAAATTCTGCGATCAAGATTATCAACCGACGGGAATTTTAAGCAGGACAAAAATAGTTGACATAATAATTAGTAAAATTTTCTCACTTGTTTAAAAGAATCTCTGTCTGCCATGGTTTCATTTTCCTTAGGTCGTTTGACATCAAAAGCGGCTGAAATTGAATATTTAAAAATCAGACAATAAACATCGGAAAAAATCTTGAATTCATGGTTTTCAATCGATTTGACATAAGTCCTATAAACAAAAACCTAGCATTTAAAACGCACTGGTGCAAAAGCTGTGTGTTTTATCATAAGATTTGGACACGATATCGATTAGATTAAGATAAAGAATTTTCATGAAATTGTTAAAAAACAACCAGAGCCTCATATTGCTAAAAAAAATTTTCTGTGACTAATTCTAACTATATTTCCGAGACCAAATAATGGATACTCTGGTACCAGGGTACGTATGCTGGGGGCGAAATTAGCCATAAATGATGTTGTTAATTTTTGGCCTATTGTTGTTAATTTTTGGCGCGTTACGGTGTTCCTTATTCAATGCATGAAAATTCTAGCTTATTCTAGCTATAGAAGAAGTGGATTTGGAAAAAATTGTGGCTAACTGGAAAAAACTTGAAACTGATCACTCAGCGAGATAGCAACGACTTGTCACGTTGTCATAAAGATAGACAGCAACTTTATCAAATTTATAAAGAGGCTAGTTGATTTCATTCAAGGTGTACATATCAGACCTCGTTTACAAGAATATGTTTTCAAATCAAAACGAAATCATTTTTCCACTTTACCGCTCGTTTATTTTGTTTACTTGACAAAGATCACTTTTATCTAGAGAATCTTTTCTTTCATTTTTATTGTATCGTTTCTCGTCGTTTTTAACTGCTCCTGTTGCCTATGTTATCGCAATATTCGGAGTAAGATCTTTTTCTTTCATAAGAATTTCCTTTATAAGAATATTCAGTGTCAGAATAATCCAATTTTTTAAGAACATAATAAGAATATTTCTCGGCCTCAGCTCGCATATTTTTGTTTGGATTTTAGCAGTTGCCTGTTTTGCGATGTTTATAACGGGCAATCGCATGACCGATGTATCTCGAATCGCGATATTTACCTTGAAACCATATCAGATTTTTTATTTTTTAAATTTCATCATGAACTTTGAACACGATTTTTATTTCATATTGTATCATTATTACTTATACATTTGATCTATAAAATTGTAAATTAGGTTTTAGACATTTCTTTTCTTTTCTTTTTAAGCAGGACAAGCAGGGAAACCAGCAATTATTGTGGAAGCTTTTATCCTGTAAAAATATTCGTATTTTTATATTCTTATAAATTTATGGTATTGTTATACAAAATGGCAGACGGCCTATTGGGAATCTCTTCCTTCCATTGTTTAGTGGTCTGGAACACAGAGCAGGAATATCAAGGGTACAACATATATCGATGGACATATATTCCAGATTGCGTTGTCTATTCTGACTTAACAGTACTCGATGTGCAAAAGCACAGACCAATTGAGACATGTTTTCTGTTATTCCGAGTTTCGGGATAGGCAAGCACGAAACTCGGAGCAACAGAGAACATGTCTCATTTTTAGCCTATCTACTACTATATCGATGGATTCCTATACAGAAATGGTACACAAAAAGCTGATTTCTATACTTACAGCCGCTAGAATTGCCCAGATAGCGAACTGGGCTTTTGATTGGTCTTGTGTTAGTGAAATATCCCCAATGATAAGCTGAAAATAAAAAAAATGTCTGGCAATAGTTGAGAAAAGTAGATTCAACATACACAATGCAAGGTCTTTTCACCCAGCCCTCGTCTGGAAGCTCAAAGTTTCACTAAGATTTATTATAAAACAATGTGCATATGGGTACATTTGAAATATCTTATTTCTTGTTATCACTGGTCAAAACCATTCTTCATTCTAATGTGACAATAAAGTCGTTTCTATATTTCGCGAAATAATCTTATGGTGGTACAAAACTTGAAAATGCTTGATAGTCATGTGCTCGGGTTTCTGATTGGCCTATTTCGATCCACAACTGGGTATATATATTTCTTAGCGTAGAGTTTTCGATCTATGTTCTGACGTTTAAAACTCTGAAGAGTGTCAGACGAAAAGCTTTAGTTTGCTAAATGTTTGCTTTTTTCAAAGCCATTTCGCAGAACCATGTTTGAAAAGAGGTTGAACAACACGAAAAAGAGGCTTTCGTATGCTGGGAATATGAGAGGTGTTAAACCAGTTCTGAACATCATACAATCTATTCCGAACCAAACTTTTTTCTACAGAACATTAATCAATGTTACTGGAAAAACTGCTATTTCTGAAATAAACTTAAATGTTTGCTAAAATTGCTATGAAATAATGGCTGAAAAACCACTCAAGCGTTATTTGTTTTGTATAGCCCTTTAAAGAATACGTTCCAAATTTCAATGTTCATCAATTTCTTTTATCATCCGCATCCCTATACGCCTAACGGAACTCCAAAAGATTGCGAAGCAAGCACCAGCAGGGATGGATTCAAGCCCGCAAGGATTAGGGAGGGGGTGTCAGATAATAATTCGATTTTGGTGCCGCACCCTTCAGGTGACTGAAGAATTATGGAGAAGCCCGTTTTTAAAATTCAGCTTTAAGCTTTAAGAAGAAGAAGATGAGAAGACAAAATAAGCAATTTCCTGCATCATTTTTTTAACTACTGACTACCAAAAAGTTTTTTACCGAATCGAGGCAAAGTACCTAATAGGAGACTCGCTCCACTACAATGCTTCTTATTAGAAGCTATCTCCTTCTATGGTATATAAGGTAACCCGAGGTAGCCTACTCAGGGGCTATGCGAAGCCTACTCGGATTGTTAAATCTTGGAACGTACCATATCCGGATCATTGAAATGTCCCGGCCCGGCAGCTGGAATAAGAGTGTCTTGGATTTTGCCATAATGATTCATTATATTGAAAACGCTTTTCCAGGAGTCCTGTAAAGACAGAGAAAGCATTACTTTATGAAACAGTGTAACAGTTAGAATATAAATTAATATTTTCAAGTATTTTTTGCATGCACGTCTTTCGTGAAAAATAGTTTATTACAATACATTGGAAGATTTTTCAAATCAAATGCAGTCAAATGGGACCTTTATTCTAATTCCCATGGCACGGGGACAACCAACCTCTAACTGGCATTTCAACATAAAGATGCTTGTATAATTTAATTGAACGAGACATAAGGGCCACCAAGAGCCACACAGGACCATGGGGCAGGCCCAATGCCCGGGCCCTTTCCTACCGAAAGCAATAAATCCAAAATACGTTAAGTATTGATTAAAATACATATAATTTTCTTTATTTTCTTGTTACTTATATTCCGAAAGTATTGTAAAACTTTCCCAGTACAGACAAAATTTGTTTCCTAAAATTACCATGTTATTAAGAGTCAGATTCTAAATAGAACAATCTTTTTACCAGCGGGCCCTATTTTGCTTACGGACCAAGGGCAATCGCCTCCCTTTGCCTCCCCTCTCGGTGAGCCTGGAGACATGAAAAATCTCTGCATTCAGGGCAAAAAAGTCATGAAACATAAACGCATTGGAGACTCGTATGAAAAGGTCTTGGAAAAAATACTGTTCTAGAAAAGCGTGAAGAATCACCACTCCCCGATTACCACCACCTTCATCGGAGGCCTTGAATACGATTTGATCTAAGTATGGTCTTCTTACCTGTATGTCATCATAGTTCCTCCAAATGTTGCAGTATTTCGCAATGAGCTCATAGTCAGTCTTGATGTGACCGGAGGTATACGCAGGCCAGCTACAGGAGTAAAGAATTGGTCGATTTGTGTTGTTGAGATAAAACCCAAAAGCAGCGTACCCTTCAGCCATTTGGTCCAGTGAAGCATAACAGCCATCTACTTTGAGCATGTCGATTCCCCAAGAAGCAAATGCCTGGTTGCATGAAATAGGCATAAAATAAAACTGCATAAATTCTTCAGTAAAAATAATTATGCAAATGAGAAATAGATTTAAAGAAAATAAAAACTGGAGTAATGGAATATAAAGAAACTTGAGATGAAATGAAAAAAGAAACATGAACAAAGAAACTTGGAAGAAGAAATAAAAAGAAGATATATTCAGAAAGAAACAATCAAGTTCAAGTTTGGATGACAAAACATAAAGAAAATCATTTCGGAGTAGAAGCAAAAAAAATTTGGAAGAAGAAGCATGAAAGAGAAGGCTCCATGAAAGAAACATCCAGTTCAAGATCAGAAAAGAAGACATAGAAAAAAACAAAAAAGAAGAAGAACCAAAAAGAAGACAGAAACAAATGATGCAAGGGAAAGAAACATGAAAAGTAGACTTAAAGACATTGACACTGGAAGTTCAAGGCCATATGAGAAAACATAGAAAAGGAATTCGAAGTGGAAACATAACAAACCTGGGAATAACAAGCACAAACGACGAGACAAATATGAAGAAACATGGAAGAAAGAAGAGACTTTCAGAAAGAACAAGCCTAGGAAGAAAAATTCCAAGAAACGCAGACAAACAAATGTGGAAGAAATGAAGTTATAACAAATTATACATAGGCCTAAGTATCTATCAAATGAAATCTGGCAATTCAATTGTACAAGTTCTTAAAAATTGAAGGAGATTATAAAACGTGATATTGCATTGACAAATAATGTAGCAAGAATACCTCAGCGTCTCTTTGCATGTCAAAAATGCTGCCAGGATATCCACCACATGTCTTGGTACCAAAATCTGAAAATGTAAAACAAAATTGTTGACATTGAGAAAAGATGAAGACAAACTTACTTGAAACACAGACTGCATCAAGTCACTGCTACAGTTGATAAATACTGGGTTTCTTTCATCCTAAAAGGTTCAGGCCATAGCTATAATTATGCCATGCAAATGGACTTCCATTTAAATTTTGTCATGAAAAACCGCAGCCGAAAAGGCAACATAACCTGTTAGCAATGCCATTTCAAGTCAAAGATTCAAACAAAGTTTTTGCATAGAGAGGGAACAAACATGAAGGAAAATACGCTCTAGTGAGCTTAAATACTCTATTGGTGAAGTAACCTTAAGATCTCAATACCCTAAACAAAGGAAAATTGCTACTGTTTCTAGAAACCAACAGAGACCTGCTGACAGGGGGCACAAGGGGACCATGGGCCTCACTTTTTTCAAACCAAAAGAGCTTCTTTGCCAAGTCTCTTAACTACAAGTCTTTAATTTGATCTTGCCCCCAAAACTTTCAAACTTTGTCTTGGAGGCTATGAACAACAGTTACAAACCTGTGTATATGCCAATTTTCAGGCCTTTTGAGTGAATCTAAAAGATAAGGACAGTAATACAAATGCTTCTACAAAAACATATTTATGGAATCTAGTAAAAAAATGAACTTGCCATTTCAATTGCAGTTGAGCTAAAAATCCAATGGAATACAGCAAGAAATTTTACTTTTGAATTATTCAGCTTCTTTAAGTGTTTCAGCATCAAAATGTTCTGCATCTTATTTTAATTTTTTTTTACCAATTTGAGTGTTTTCTGATAATTTTCATCGATCTTGTCAATCATTTTAACACTTTTATGCAATTTTTAGAAAAAAAAGTACAGAAAATTTCTCCAAAATGAAACACAAGATCTTTGGTGTCATATAGATCAAAACAAATTCTTCAAAAAGGATGCAAAAATCAATAAGATGATTACCATATAAATAGTAGGGGTTGAAATTATATACAAAATAATAAAAACTACAGAATCAAAGTTGCTTTTTATCTTTTAATTCTCTTTTTGTATTGGTGAGCATAAAAACTGCTAGGATAAGTGGGGTTGGCATTGCATTTGAAACAGTCAATAACATGGCTATAAGTTTATAGGAAGGGTTCAACTCAAGTGAAGACAGTAAATAATCTTTTGGTGGTACAAAACTTGAAAATGGCTTTGAAAAAAGCAAACATTTAATAAACTAAAGCTTTTCGTCTGACACTCTTCAGAGTTTGAAACGTCAGAAAATAGACCGAAAACTCTATGCTAGTAAATATATATACCCAGTTGTGGATCGAAATAGGCCAATCAGAAACACGAGCACATGACTGTTGAGGTTGACCAATCAGTGCCGCTTGCCTATTGAGAATGTTACCAATGGAGTCCTAAGGTGAAAACGAACTCCTTTTGTCTGCACAATAACGGTTTTTTCGTGCTTATGTAGATAGATTCCAAAACTGCTAGGTGGAACGACGATCAGGCTTTACCAATAATCCAAAACATGTCGCCATTATGAAGACAGTAAAGGAATTACAGCACAGTAAAAGTACATACATAGTCTGCAAGAGACTTAATACCACTGGGAAATCTTTCTCTGTCAGCAACCAAGTTTCGTTTTGCATCTCTTGATTTCTCTGGCCAGCAATCCTTTAAAAAAGAATATAGAATAAAAAGTGAAATAAAGTAACCAAACTTTCTTTAATCTATGGCCCTTTTACTTTGGAGCTCATGATGTGGCCTCCTGCATAGAGCTGTCCTCAAACTGGCTCCCTGGATGTTTAGAGAACTTCAAGTAGCAGAAATATTTTAGTGATATCAAAAAACTGAAAACAGTGTATTTTGAAGAGCTCCTTATATCTTGCAAGCAGCTTAGTCAAATAAAATCCATTCTATGAGTCAATTTCAGACACTTTTAGTTTATTTATACCTATTAGAGGTTAGCACTTTTATATGGAACTGAATATTACAGTGGCGGATTTAAGGGGGGGGGGGCAACGAGTTTAAGCAAGTCTGGCATCCCTTTTTGAAAATTGTGCGCCCCTTGAAAAAGGTTCTTGGACCGATAGGTTAATTTACTTCAAGGATTACCTAAAAGTTATGTTGTTTATTCTGAAAAGGTGTTTGAGATTTTTGTATACAGTGTACTCTCGTAACCATTTTTTGAAAATTTGTCAGCGTTCCCACTACCAACTGCCTCTCCTTCAAATTTGCTCTGGATCCACCCCTTGAATATTAGAATCATCAAGCTTCATTTCAACCTAACCATCAGATGTAAAGGTTATAAATTTATTTATTGCAATACTTATGCCACTCACATCTATATTTATATATGTATACCCAGCATCTTTGTAGCCATCAGCAGCCATTCTGTCTGCCATGTCCTTGAACAATTTCTCACTGAGGAAAGATATATTGAATGACTTCTTTAGGTTAAAATATGCAAGAATGTTGAAGTGGGTTGACAGATAAAGAGCAAAACTTGTGGATTTTTTGCTTACAAAAAAGAATACATTTTATACATTTGATTGACTATATTTGTATTTGTATTTGTTGCTGCCTAGCATCCGAAGGCACTGAGTTTTTAGGACACTGAGAAGCTATGTTTATGGAGCAGTGTCCTGGTCCTTCCTCTCAATGTGACCACACCTCGTGATTACACGCCTGGAATGACTGGATTGATTAAAAATTGATGTACACATATCCACTTTACAACAAGCATCTTTACAGTTTAAATTAGGAAGCATGTTGCTTCCTAATTAGATTGAATTAGGAAGCTTTGTGTATAGGGAGGCCTCTTTTCTCAATAAGCTTTGCTGCTGAAATAGTTCCTCCTTTAAATGATTCGCCCATACATACACATCTCACAGATAATTTGTGTTCCACATGTTATTGTTATAATGACTGCTTGTCATTTCAAATTGCTGTACTTTCAACTGGCATTTTGTGGAAATTTATGTTGTAGAATGTAAAATATAATGAACCTGACCTGATACAGTCATCTGGAGACTTTTTGCAATCAATATTACATCTGAATCTCTCCCATGCAAGCCATCCCACTAGAAGGAATGAAAATTTTATTGACAAATGTTAGTAAAACAAAGCAACAAAGTCAGTCCACAATTACTTTCTTTCATTGTGCTTGAATCATTACAGGCAGAGAGAAACAAACTTTGATGTAAAAAAACAGGTTCTAAGCTTTTGGTGGATTTACGAAGAAAGAATCTGTGGTATGCCGGAGACGGGGAGACCTGATAAGTCTACAAGTACACATATGACTGTTAAGATACAAAATGTTTTATCTGAGATGCAAGAAGGTAATAGAACTAGAGTCAGGAAGACATGATTTCAAGATCAAAAAACAAGTATGCCGGAATAACTCTGAGAGCAACTGTCCTCCAGCCCTAGAGACGTTCTGTTGTATACAATAAGAGGCATTAGTCTTCACCTTTATACAAACAAAGGCTTGACCCCCAGCTAGTTTTCCTTATAAATTTTTCGATTTTATGTTCTGTTAATATTGAAAAAGTTGAATGAAATGATAAAACAAATGCTAGAAGTTTTTCTGTCAATGACTTTTTTAAAAAAAATTCTGCTCCCCTGTCCATCTCTAGAAAAAAATCTCTAGGCCCAGCAACATTTTACTCGTGCATCACGTGAGTTTCATCAGGTGAACTGTGCATGCCCACATCAACAATCACACAATTACTTACTTGGAGGAGTCAATGCAAGGCCATTATCCAGACAGAAACAGACTTTGAGACTGTACAAAGCCAGAAAACTAAAAACTAATTGTCCTGGATTGAGCATCTTTCCTTTTTTTGATATTTCTAACGGTTGTTTCTCGCCACACCACAACCAAATGTTAGGTACTCACAACAACACCAGACCTGCTTCCGGTTATAAGATATCTTGAAAATGAAGTGAATTGTTATCAGCCTCGTAGTGAAGAGGCTCCAAAAGTGGACCGAGGCACAGGATGCTTCCACATGTTTTGAAGTTTATTATTATTATTATTATTATTATTATAATAATCTGAGATCTGATCCCAGCAGTTCTTCGCTATCACCACATCCCTGAGCACATTCAAAATATTATCTGCAGCCTTTATACTGATTTTAAAACATCTATCATAACCGATACATTTCGTACCCCTTTTATACCGGTAGGCCGCGGTGTCCTCCAGGGTGATTGCCTTAGCCCATTAACCTTCAATCTTTGCTTTAATACTTTCATTCATTACATCTCAGATAATAAATTCAGCCAGTTCGGCTTCTATACAAACTCCTTAAACCCTGTCCATTGGTTTCAGTTCGCTGACGATGCGGCAGTGGTTACTGGTCAAGAAAACGAAAATCAAATTCTCTTAAACCACTTCTCTAGATGGTGCTCTTGGGCAAACATGCATATTCGGGTTGACAAGTGCTCAACATTTGGAATTAAAAAATCGTCTACTTCATCTGTTCAGTTTCTACCCAAACTTATTGTCAATAAAAACATAGTTCCCACTGTTGAAAAAGACAAATCTTTTAAATATCTTGGTAGATACTTCAACTTTCCTATGGATAATAGTGATCATATGTCAGAACTATTGGAAACTGTCAACTCGTTAATGTCCAGTATCGACAAATTGTCGTGTCATCCAAAGAACAAAATTATGTTATACCACCGATATGTGCTATCCAAAATTTCCTGGAACCTGACCATCGCTGATTTAAGCAAGACATGGGTGACAGAGAATCTAGACAATGTTGTTTCAAGCTTTGTTAGACAATGGCTCGAGCTGCCAATAAGTGCTTCACTAAGTAGCCTCGTCATTCCAAAATCGAAGTTTGGCATCAATCTCATTCTTCCATCTACCAAGTTCTTACAATGCCAAACAGTTATCCGCAACTCTTTAAGACTGTCCCCAAACCAAGAGATTCGCTCTTTATGGAAAGACTCTAGCACTGGTACAAACATACAATATGACGTTTATCGCAACACCAAACAAGTTCTCAAATCCATCCAAAGTGAACACGAAAACCGCATTGAAAACGTTCTTACATCTCAAGGATTTATTATCTCGTGCATCTTAAAATTTGCTTCTAAGGGAACTAATCAACTTTGGTCTAGTGTCCAGCAAAAGTTACCAAAAAACATTTA